TGGTCAGGAGCACAGACAGAGGTCACAGCTCGACGATGGATGTGTAAAGTCACACGAGGTCAGACTACCAGCTGTAATCACCTGTGCAGGTACATGAGCTGCAGCTGCACCCACCGGTCTGAACACGCCCCTTCACAACAGTGACGACAGCAGATTGGTGGTTGGTGTCTGAACCCCCGCTGGCAGGCTGCCAGGTGGTTCGGCGCCGAAACAACACGTGACATCATCATCGTGACAGCTCAGGCTGAGCCTCCCTGCACAGATCTGATCGCCGATCAGCTGATTTTCCAGCGCACTCAGCTCCACGTCTGCAATCGGTTTCCAGCTCGGCGCCGTGACATCATCCAAAGTGAAGCAATAAACTTGCAGGTCGCCCCCGCCCCCTCCCCTCACTACTGACATTCCACCATATTAATCTTTAACCGCTGCCAGCTGGACAGGAAGCAGCAGAGCGGGCTGAAGCACGGCCTCGTGGGTACGTTTGTTCAGGATGAGCTGCTTGCTCCATCACCATGGCGACGGCACACGGAGAGCATAACGTCAGAGGATGTTCGAGCTGCAGGTTGTTTCTGATTCGGTGGCTTCAGGAGTCCAGAACTGCTTCCTGCAGACATCAGCAACGTAACGACGAGGACGCGCTTCCACGCCGTAGCACGTTTCTCTCAGAGCGACCACAAACAACCGCACGCACATACAAATAAACACACTGTGTATGTACAGAAAAATTATATTAAATCAACTTTGCTAAAACTATGTTGAACTGCAGTTACTCTGGTCTCCAGTCTAAAAGTGCTAACCATAAAAACAACAACACAGCATCCTGAGCAGGACGATCTGCAGGGACGCGTATCAGGGACGCGTATCTTTATCTGATACCAAACCAGAGCTTCCCAACGTGTGGGGCCCAAACAGGATCACATCCTTGATCTTTAGTTCAAACACTTGTAACGACTAACTGCTCCTGACATGTTGGAGATGTTTGCTCTTTATACAGTAAAGTTACAGGATACAAATAACATCAGCTGATCCTGACACGATGTGTTCCCCCTGTCTAAATCACAGACAAACAGCTGTTTATGTTTTTAAACCCATTTTGCACAGAGAGACATTTTTGATTTGATATCAAT